ATAGCTTCAAACAAAAAATACCAAAAATGTCAAAGAAAATAAATAACAGTGTCTCAATACTTTTTTCATTGAATCTAGAGAAGTATTATTTTTGTTATAATTAAAAAATAAAACAATTTATTTTATTTAAATTTCTTTTAATAAAAGAAGAGATTTTAAACAAAAAATCACACTTTTATTTAACACAAAATAATCAATTCTACATTTTTTGTTTTTTCTCATTCAAATTTGTATCCACAAGAAGTACAAAAACGTGTGCCTTCTTCAACTTCAGCTTCACAGTCAGGACATTTTTTAGTTTTTCCAGGTTGTCCAACAACAGATTTTTTTGTATCAGAATATTTTCCATATAGGGTTAAACTTTCTTCCTCTCTTTTTTGTTTATAATATTTATTAAAACAAATGTTATGCCAATCTTTTCCATCGGCTTGTTTTCTTTCTGCAAAATACACTGTTTTACCTTTTATTAGTTAATATTTTTATTTCTTAATTAGTCAATATTAAAATTAATATAAAAATAAATTAACAAACCACACAACGCACACTTCCAAGACATGATTTTTTAGATATTTAAAGTTTCAAGTTGGCTATGTTGTATAAATAGATATCATTTATTTATTTATAGAATAAATTATAATATTCTTTTAATTCTTCTTTAGATTAATTTAAAAATACAATTGGTATTGACGTGGTTCCACCATTTCGTTTCTAAGGTTTAGAGGTAATTTTAAACAAATAAAATGACTATTCTATTCACTATTTTTTAAGGCTTTCTGTTTCTAAACTATTAGGAATTTTTCATATGATTCTTTTTGCAAGAATAATCCTTGTAAATCAGTTCTTCATGACCAATTATTATCGCTTTTTGGTGAGTTAAACAAAAAGAGTCTCATCAACAAGAGACAACTTTCAATCTCTCACACAAAACGAAAAGGTACAAACATATAAGAACCAAAACAAAAAAAAACAGTAATTCATGAGCACATCTCACTGGTTTTCTTTTCTAAATAAACGTGAAGACATACTAAAAGAGGAAGAAGTAATAAACCCTTTTGTTTATGATGAAAAATTAGGAAAATGGATTAAAAATACTAAAACTCAATACTCGAACTCTTGTCCACCTGAATTTGATACTCAGATGCCACCATCACTTCCATTAAATTTTCATTACCACAAAATGGTTCCCAATGTCAGAAGGGATCGTTATATAGATCCTTTCACATATCAAATTCACCATTGTACTCCTCCTCTTGTATTTCCTAATTAAATAACAATAATTTAATTATTTTCAAGAATCACAAAAATACTTAATATAGCTTGTTAGGGAGTAAATATCAAAGGAATAAAACAGTGAGAAAATTGGAAAAAAGAACAAAAACCAAATTGGGTAAACATAACTAGTAAATTCAATCCAAATGGAGGATCTTCCTGACATTAAATACATACATTTTCCAATAATTAAGCTAACTGACTTTTGTTCAGACAGTGGTTCTGGAGAAGAACAAACAAGTAGTACCGAGGAATTAACTGATGATGAAATTGATTTAGAAGAAATGAATAAGACTTTTAGTCGATTGTCACTTCAAGGCACAACAGAATTTAACAATGAAATAAACAAACAACCCTCCTTATTAAAGAAAAAAAAAATGTCATCAGCCCTCCAAATAGGTAATGAAATCATTGAACACCAAAAAAAACAAACTGAAACTACACTTAACTCAACAATAGAAAAAAGTTATGAAAGAGTTGAAGATGTTAGTTCACAAATAAATATAACTAATGAAGAAGACATACAAGAAGAAAAAGAAAGAGATGAATGTTTAAATAACGAACGTTATTCATTTAACAATGTTGGAAGTGTTGCTACCATTGAATCAAATGAAAATGTAGATAATATCATTGATATTATTGATACTGCAAACGAACCTAAATTTTCAATGAATGATTTTGTAAAAAATCGACTCTCTACAGAAGACATAGTTTCTGAACATAGTCAGTGGCATGGAGAAGAAGATCATTTTTATTCAACAATATCAGATTTAAATAGTATATATTTTAGTTCATTTCTTGTACACTATTTAGGTGCCTTAAAACCATTGTTAGATTTTACTCCACGTACTACTATCAGTCATTCTATTAAAAATTCTTTACAAAGAATTTCTGCTAAAATTACATCTTCTCCACGTTCTAATTCCCCTCCATCATCAGAACCTACAGAAGAATATTGTATTAGACTATTACAAAACATCAAAGATATCCAACAACAAGAAATTCTTGATAATTTAACTTCACTTAATAAAGGAAAAGAATTACTTGACTTTGCTTCTAATAATCAAATGAAAGAAATTCCTTCATCTCCATCTGATTGTGTATTAATGTTATTGTTTGTTATTAACGAATATAATATGGGTTTTTTTACTCCAACATTACCAAGTAAACCTGACTATAATAAACTTCAAATGAATGATTTACGTGTAATGATTCATTCATTATCAAAGAAACAAAAAACTATCATTGAAGGAATATTAGATTTAACAAATGTGCCATACATTCAAATTCTCGCTCTTTTTGGTTTGTTTAGTTCTGGACAAAGTGCAATGGAACGAACAAATGCTATTCCTCAAGCATACTGTATGTATGAAGTGTTAATGAATAGAAGAATTTATTTGATGGAAGGTGTTGTTAATGGCATTTCTATTGTAAATAAAGAAATAAATTTATGTACGTTACAAGCATTAATTAATAAAATGTCCATTCTTGACGATAAAATGTTGACTATTATTTGTCAAGTTCATTCATTATTTTGTGACTCAGAAGAATTTATTGAAAAACTTCGAACACATTGTCTTTATCGTTCTATTGAAATATACAGAAGTGTATTTAAAGATATTGATAAAGAAATAGACACTCCTTTACTAATTACAGTTGAATCATTATGTAATATACTTCTTCCTTATCTTGATAGTCCAAAAATTTTAGCCCAAGCAATTACAACAGTATTTAGTAATGCTCTTTGTTTAATTAATCCAATTGATTTTATTGTAGAAGAAAGTAAAGGAACAATGTTCTATATTCAAACTGTTGATTTATTTCAACAAACATTATGTCATATTTTACAAACCAAACCTTCTTCTATTAAACAAGTTATTGCTTTAGGAAAAGAACTAAAAGACCTTAATAATTTTGAAGGAGCTGGTGCTGTTGGTCTAGCAATCTCTTGCAGATGTAGTGATGTAGAACTTAAAAAATTAAAATCAAAATACAAACAAATTATTACATCATTAGCCACTATGTTTATGGCTCGAACGAATATGTACACTAAAACACTTAATGACGCTTCATTTCCTAAAATTCCTGTTTACGCTTTCTCTAAAAATGTTGTAGAAATGTCAAAAGTAAAACCAACTTTTTGTGAATTTTATCCAGAATATATCGATTTTGGTGGTAAATGTTTACCAATAGGAAATATCTGTTATTTGTATAAGTGTTGCCAAATGAACCCTTATCAAATTAAACTTAACGATGATGTTTTACAAAATATAGTTGATAAATGGCTTGGTTTTCATTAAATTATTTATGAACGACAACTATCCATTTTCTTACCATCAACATTATTTATATCTTATTATTATAATTCACTTTTTTTGAGGATTTTCATTAAGTCAATTCAATAATAACAACTCTTATCACAAATTTTCTAATTAAAAAATTATTTTTGTATTATTTTAACTTCTAAAAATCAAAGACTAAAAATAATAGAAAAATCACCAAAAAGAACTTTAAAATTTACTATGTTATTCGTGTTATTTATCTTTTCACTTTGTTCTGCTGCAAATGTTAATGATTTAACAAAAAATTCAAATGAGGCTAAGGACAAGATTAGTGCTATGTCTCTCTTTGTTAAAGCTAAAGTCACACAATCTGTCAATGACATTAAACAAGCCATTAAGAATGATAAAATTGCTTATAAAATGACCGTTAAATCAATTAAACATGACACAAGCTTAGCATTAAAAGAATTTATTGAAGCTAAAAAGGCTAACAAAAATGCAACTGATCTTGTTGATATTTCCACAAAAACAAGAAATGCAGAAAAAGAAGTTATTGAACACATGACTAAATTACATAACACTTTTGTCCAAACCCTTACTAACACTAGTTCTGGTGTTAAAAAAACTGGTAAAGCAAATAAAATTGAAGCTGAAGTCTCTTTGGTTGGCGTAAAAACAATTGGTGAAAATCTTGCAAAACAACTTAATGCTGCAAACACTACTGATGCTCAACTCCAATTAGTTTTTACAACTGCTAGCTCTGGTTTAAAGAATTTAACTTCACATATGGTCAATGCTACAAAGGGGCAATTAAAGGCTATTAAGACTGCCGTTGATTTTGCTCGTCTTGGAGAAGTTAAAATGTTAGAATCATACAACAATCTATATGTAATATATAAATCATCTCTATCTCAAAGTCTTTTTGTTAATCAAACTCAACCAACAACACCATCAGAAAAGGCTGAAGCAAACAAAAAAGCTAAAGCTGCTTTAAAGAAGGATATTTCTGATCTTAAGAAAATAAGAAGGGTTGTCAGTAAAGATCTTGTTAATAAAAACATTACGAAGAAAAATACTAAGAACACTGAAAAAAAGAGTAACCTTAAAAAAGCTTCTTTAACACCAAAGGCTAAAAAATGTGTCTCTGCCTTAAAGAAATAACTCATTTACTTTTAATTTTTTCTTGTTTGATTATTTTCAAACGAGTAAAAAATAATTATAAGAAAAAGGAATATTATTATAGTTAAACTAATTCTTCTTCATTACCACGTAATTCATTATAACCATTTTTATTCACTTTCCAATGGAT